AAATAAATGTTATATAATGTTGTAGATATACGGATGGAAACCGGAGTTCTTTAACGATACGAAATCATTGCCAAGCAATATGCCGGCCCAGCTGAAGGAATATATTAACGAAGTGAAGGATCCTCGCGAGTTGGAAACGATTTGGGTGTCCTGCGAGGGCGAGAATCCCGCGGACCAAGAAAATATAGGACCCATCAAGTACATCCCGCGGAGAGGTTTCCCCGGATATTTTTATCCCTATGAAAATTCCGAGGGTTACCTCAGCCCGCTAGTGGCCATTCACTTCGTCCGACCACGAAGTAAGTTACACGGGAATCGAATGAGTTATACAGAGAATTCTTTTCTATTAAATGAATGATCGTTCGTTACAGCTGGAATTTTAATAAACGTGGAGTGTAAGGCGTGGGCGAGGAACATAAAACACAATCGCAACGATAAACTGGGTGTCGTCCATTTCGAGCTGATGATAGATTAACGTCGTTTTGTATACTTTGCTTAGGAGGCGGGGAGGGTCTCTCCCTTATTAGCTTACGTGAACGCCATGCGAATCTCACGTTTTCTGACGAAGCTGCTTTTAAAATAGCCGTCAGAAACCGACGACCGCTGCCAAAGTGTGCATGAAACTTTTTCACGTACAAACTAAAGGTTTTCCATGTTCATATCATCGAAAACCCGACACACTTTTATGTGCACCGAAGGAAGCTGTAATACATTTAGTAATCCCATTTTTTTTTATATTAGATCGAACGCGTATTATAGTTACGAAAAAATCATAATTCTCTGTTGCGTGGAAAAATTGAATAAACGTATTGCAGTCTTTCCTCGATGCCACCGTACAGAATGTAATACACAATTCTCGCGTTACGTTCTTTTACGACTAATAATTGGCCACGGATTTGATGAATAACCGTGATATTATATTTTTAAAATTGTCAATTCCAAATTGATACTTTCTAAATACAGGAATTTTTAATCGAATCTCGCGAAACGATCTATTAAGTCTAATGTTTAAGAAACGATTACCGATTAGTCAGTGTTTCAATTAAATATACCTTGCGAAATTGATATCTGTTAATTGTTCAGATTTCCAGTTACCATTCGAGGTCTCTTCTGTCACGAAAATTATTTTTTAGACCGCCCTTTTATCTTCTATCATTTCTTCGAACCATATCCTATCTTTAATATTCTTTCACGAGACAGCGTTTCCACCTTGTTCATATTTGACAGTTTCTGAACCTCGTTTCTTTTGTATTTTTAAATGGGCCTTGATCGGTCGATCTGTTTAGCCTGCATTTTAATATTTATTGGGAATAGATCTCTTAAATAAAGCGACGAAGATAAGACGTATGTAGTATCATACATGCCTTATGTGTGTACATATATATTTCGCTTCTAAAAGTACATGTATGTAAAACGTATCGTATGTGTATACATATATTTTTATAGATAAGATTCTCTCTTTAATTAATCTATAAATTCATATTATTCTACGACATTGTCCGAAGAACAAAACATTTTATTTTTATAGTATCGATGTATACGAGGGCATAACTGAATAATCGAGTTTCAGTTGCATCCGTTCTTTAATTTGCTACATTTACCCTTTAACACGAGACAATCAATTATTAATTGCTGTACACGTTCCAACTGTCAATATTATAATAATAAAAATATTAATTTTGCAAATGAACCATTTTCTTCACGTGACGGACACACTTATATAAGTAGTTTTGTATGCTCTATGGTGAAAATAATAAACTATCGTTTTATAGAAGATAGAATACTGATTTCCTTATATCTGATAAACCTTCAAAAAATATAGACTGTATAATTCATATCACAATCGTAGCATCAGAATGAAATCGAGTAAATTCCGTTCCACGAGAGAATCTCTTCCTTGCCTCTACTAGCGAATTGGTGAATGGATGTAAACAATGTCAAGGAAGGATCGCCTTGGATCATGACAAAATTAGGTAGGATTGCTTGCAATCGGACAGACTTAAAACGTCGACTCCCTCGAGGCGAGTCCTTCCTCTCATGGAACGAAGTGTACGCGTTTTCATTTATTAAGTAAAAATCGACTGAATTCATTTGATTCTCGTAATGAAAATAATTGATCTTAACATTTTTATTCACACAACAAGATACATTATTAATATCGTCACCTTAGATAATCTTGTACGGATGACGAAATAAATTAGATAAGTACATATACGTTTAATAAGTACCTATATCTACCCACAAGTATAATTCCTTGATTAATTGACAATAATAATGTTGCAACTCCGAGATTCTTATATCTTATGATATTTAAATTGTGTATCTTGAAAGCAATGCTGCTTCTATTCGTAATAGGAAAATTTCCGAGAAGACTAAATATTGTAAATCTTCTATGTTAATCTACTTGTATTCTTTTCTTGAATGAGAAAATAAGAATTTAGGAAGTGAGATTGATACACGGTTGAATACACGTAATGCAGTTATGGTTGCAGATGTCCGCGCAATCGTGCATTCGAAGACACAAGTTTTATTTCGTTTTCTTACAAATCAATCAACGATCATTCGTCGATCATGAGTTCAAAATGTACCAAGTTCTTGCTGTCGAATAGCGTCGTGGCGTGATTTATATTCTTAGCCCAAGCCCGGCATTCGACGTTGATTATCCTGTTCCCTAGAAAACAATCGATTTTTTTTTAAATAACAAAAGTGTCTCAAACATCCTTACGTTCTCTTTTAAAACAAATTGCTACTAGCTCAAAATTATAAGTAGGGTCACAAATTGCTGAGAGTGCTGGAAGCATAAATTTCGCTTCGCGGCTTCCAGAACTACTGTGAGCTGTTTGTAAATCTGATTCCTACGTGTTGTCGTGTACAAAGAGCGTATCGACTAATGAAGCCGGATGAGATGTAATTTTAAAAGTGTTTGGGCCGTTGACACCTTCCAGCGTCGGATATCGTGTCGCGGTGCACTGGATTTTACTGGTTTCAACTGGAGTGTACCATTTGCTTACCATACAGATTAGTCAACATTAAGTATATGTATAAGTAGTTTAAGAAATATGAGAATAATCCTCTATCATTTTCCCCTCGCGGTAGCAGAAAGATCGGTGCCTGTTTCCGCGATTGAGATCATCAAAAATGTTCAATTTCGTATCTACTAGTGATTCTAAAATCCACTTGTAATAAATATACTTACTTGCTGGTCGCAGAAAATGCACAGCTACAATGGGGCTCAAATATCCGGGTACATTTTGATACGGATAATAAAATCCAGGGAACCCGTGGCTCTCAGGGTAATAGTTCAGCTCGCCGATGCTCTCCTTGTCGTGAGGATTCGCACCTTCGCAAGACACCCAAACGGTATTCAACTGCAAAAGAAACGAAACGCGATAAATCGAAAGGGAAAAGAAATATAAATAACTCTGTAAGAATACCCAAAATTTATTAATCCTGACTTTGTACACTAAATGATAACGCCTGATTGAAAATCTTTCTTCGTATGTACAATTAACTGACCGACTAACTAACCCATGAACTGTTGACGGTTTTAATGTAATCAACGAGGCTCTGCGGCATCTGACTCGATAAATTATTGGTGTCATTGTAATACTCTGGTACCCAGCCGTATATCTGTAACCATGATATTTATAAATGAGAATGATTCAAGATTCACTGGAACGGAATCGTGAATTAATTGATGACTAAGAGTACGTACCCTGTTTAATTTGATAAAAATGCAAGGAGCTGAGTTATTGAAACCGTATTGTTGATCGGGCGAGCAGGGACCCCAATTGTTCACCTCGACTGCGCAAACGTGTCCAGGCTTAGGTGGAGTATCGTAATTACAGATCTGCTGATTCCTACCCCCCTGTGGTAGCAATGATGAATTGGTGTATTCTATAAATAGGAAACTCGTTATTGTCAGCAAGAATCAAATTTGAGGTGCAATTCATGTGTTGTGTAATCATTCACCGAGTAGAAATTTATCCAACAAGCTTGTCCACTTTTGCACTGAGCTCGGGTCCGAAGAGCTATACCAAATCAACGACCTTTCCTCAGTGTTATCGGAGAGCGGTCGGAACCCCAAACCTATTAAAATTATCTTTTTAATAGNTAAAAACCGGCAGCCTGATTATTGGTCAATTTTTATAATCTTCAAATACGCCTCCTAACTCATAAGTTATTTATTTACGTTATTAAAATTATTTTTCGTTGTCTCGGATTAATGAACGACTTCTATTCAACATGAGGCAAGGAATGATAAACCAAAGTCATGTATGGAAGATAATTTGATGAATTTCTGATTTTTAAAAAGAACCTTGTAAGGTACTCTTTGATGTTTAGCAGATCGATTCGCTTATATTAACGTTACCGTGTCACATTTACGTATTTCGAGCATGGTAAATGATATATGAATTCTTTTGCACAGTCAGTATTATTATAACGTTACAAAAATTGTTTGCTATATTACCTAACATGTTTCATTTAATGACGTATAAAGTCTTTTCCAGTCTAGCATTATTATAATGTTATAAAAATGTTTACTGTATCATTTAAAGCTGAAGAAGTACATTAGATTTACCTGGATTTGTTCCTATTAGACTCTCTTCTAGAATCCACCTCGGTCTCTGATCACTCAGGGTAGCTAATAATCCCTTCATGCAAATAGCGAAGAGCAAGGCTAACACGCTGAAGAAAACAGTGTAGAATGCGCCGGTAATAGCTGAAATAATGCAAAAACAAGAATTCGTTCATCATTAAACGATTTCAATTAAGTTTTTATTATGTCGAAAATTCAATATTATCAATTGTTAATACAATTACTCTTATGTCGTTTTCTCTTAAGTAACAATTTGTTGTGATGCTTCGTACTTATCTATCGACGCGGTATAATACGGAGCAGCATAATCGCTAGCTTAAAATAATTTCAGCATTTAAGTTACATGTAGGAGTCTCAATGGAACCACGTGGCATCGAAAATTTTCATTTCAACGATTGGAAGGATAATATTTAAAGACTGGGCAACATGCCAAAGTCCGATCTAAATATAGTTTCTGTTTCAAGAGTAACGTGTACCCTGATAGTTGCTCGTTTCTCGTTGCGACCGAATATTCAGTTTCCAATACAACATCCGATTGGCAAAGTATTTTAAAAGTCACAGGAATTTCAATCTAAATTCTAATTCCACTGATACGATTTTTCTGTGATAAAATCAAAGATTTGTAGTTTGTTTATTCTATGTTTGAAAATAGTTCTTGACATTCGACGGAATATTTACATGCACTTCATGAATGATTAGCTTAATAAGTAGTGTAATAAAATTTCTTGATAAGAGACAGATTAATTTCAGTATACATAATTCTTCGTATACGTTGCATTTTATCTTTTTTTTTTATGTAATATCAGGTTCTTCAGAGAACTCGACAATGAAGTCCGGGTGTAATATCATTTCAGGTTGAGATAGCGTTTAGCGATAGTACGCGAAGTGCATACAAAACATAACTGACAATCAGAAACCTATGTTCATTATAGCGGCTCGACCTGTTCTACAGGATATTAAAATTACTTAATGAGTATGTGTTCGATTCGTAAAACGTAAAAAGCGATCAGTTCTATATTAACGTTCTCCATTCTTTAATAAAGTCAAATTTTTAATTCTGGAATTACTTATAGAGCAGATAGCAACGAGAGTTTTTACAGTTGTCTGTTAAAATGCAAATTCAACTAACGAGTGGATTCCCAGTAATTTTAGCCAGTTTCCTCCTCATCTTTTTTCCTCTGTCCGTAACGCAATTTATTATTCGCCAAGTGAATAGGAGAATTTAGCGACACTGAAAACTCGTGTGACTATGTACGTTTTTAAATTGTGTACGCAAAACGCATTTGTTGTTTCTTGTGTTATTATCTGTTTAGCTCGTTGGATAAGTATGCATGTATTTGTTATCATTGTTAGTCCTGCGTTTGAAACACGAGTAAAAAGCCAATTAGCGAATACCTGTCTTAAAATATACCGCAGTTCAATTACAATTGCATATTAGATTTTTAATGCATAATACTCGCACGTGGCTTTATCTTTGAACAATGTAATTATCGTATTTATCTACCTGTGCAATAGTTCGTTAATTGGAAACACAGATGGTACTTTGTTACAAATTTTACGCCCGTGTCACAGTTGCACTCTGATCGCATTAGAAGACATTAGAAGCATTAATATCAATAAATCGTGTCAGAAGTTACTTCCGCTCTAATAAATCTCATTCTTTCTTCTTGTCCTTCGCCTTCATCGTCTTCCCTTTCTGCTCGACGAAAATGTGGCAAAAACTATTTTTCAACAAGCTAATTCTTTTATTTGCAAATGTTAAAATGATAATAACGCATCTCATAAATTGTACGAAACACGAGTCAATTAACACTGACTACTATCGTAGATTCTGCAGTTTCTTTCATTTATTACGATGCTAATTTCATTTATGAATCGAACGATTATAACGTTGATTGCATAATTATAATTATTATCCTAACACCTCGTCACTGAGCATTAAGAATTGTCACACTACGGAGCATTGTATTTTAGAGTGAAACTATTTTACGTAAATGGTAAACCGGCTTCTGGCACTACAAACTGAAATTCATTGTCTTCGTCTAAAATTAGCATCTTATGATTATTCATACGTCTTGCAAATTTACTTGCACCGCGAATTGCATTAAAAATTTCCGATACATTTATATGAATTTACTCGCCTCTTCGTAACTTGAGGAAGAGAACAGTAGTTTTTAAAGTAAATTGAAATGTAGCAATTATCCGTAATCTAGTCGTGGTTTGCTTACGTATTCGATTATGTGAATGGTTAATTTATGCTTAAGAATACGGAACAGGTTTGTCTCGGCCATAAATAGAGTGCTCGTACAATTAGGAAATTCAATGGAAGATCGAGAAGTTATAAATAATTAATAAAATCTATTCTAATGAAGACATCACAAAAATAAAATTAAAAAAGAGTTAAATGGTAATTAATTTTGATGTTATTTTCGTATGAAGACTCTCGAAGACTCGCTTCCTCATAAATATGAATTACATCGAATAAGTGAAAGGCTTCTAAAGTAGAACAGTGAACTTGTAAAGTGGCACTGCCTCCTTCGACAAGGTTCGTGCAACATAATTTATATACACGAATATACGATGGCTGTTTGATAAGTATACAAAGATACCTCCGTAAAAATGGAAAAGTTACAGAAACGCCTTTGGGTCTCGCCAGCTGTTTTTATTATTCTAATGTATTTGAAGATTTCTGGAGATCTTGCGTAATTTCGCCGTGGAAACTTTCCACTTTCCACTTGTATATCTTCAAATATTTCTTGATGCACTATTAAGTGTTCTCAACCACATGAGTCATCGTTAATTGTTCTATCGGAACAGAATTTATTATTCATATTTATAGAGACACGAATTGAAACTTACTAAAACTGTACACATTTAATAAACGAATTCGTAAGAGTTGTATACGGTAAGACAACATAAAATATCAGCTTATCTCAGAATCATGATAGTTATCAGAAGCTCAATCGTTATCTAAGTAATTCTGGTTTATTAAGACCATAAATATGATTACGATGATTGACAGTCTGAACGTAATAACTATTTCTAACAATTTACTTATATACAATTCTAATATTATTCATTATAGTTTTAACAATCTTCCTTGGTTCTTCACATTAAAGTAATTTAGATCTAATCCCTATCACAATTAATGCTTACTATCCATGGTGTTGCCAATTAAAAATTCGAAGGTACACAAATTTTTATATAACATTTAATAAAGTTCTGAATTTACTTAAATATTTACATCCTCCAACGTGATTAGAAGTACGCTAATTTCACGAATCTTGAGAAATCAGTTTAATATCATAAAAGTATATAAAATTTAATAAAATCCTGATTGTACTTAAATATTTAATTACACATTCTCCAACGTGATTAGAAGTACGCTAATTTCACGAATCTTGAGAAATCAGTTTAATATCATAAAAGTATATAAAATTTAATAAAATCCTGATTGTACTTAAATATTTAATTACACATTCTCCAACGTGATTAGAAGTACGCTAATTTCACGAATCTTGAGAAATCAGTTTAATATCATAAAAGTATATAAAATTTAATAAAATCCTGATTGTACTTAAATATTTAATTACACATTCTCCAACGTGATTAGAAGTACGCTAATTTCACGAATCTTGAGAAATCAGTTTAATATCATAAAAGTATATAAAATTTAATAAAATCCTGATTGTACTTAAATATTTAATTACACATTCTCCAACGTGATTAGAAATACGCTAGCTTGACGAATCTTCAGAAATCAGTTTAATGTCATAAAAGTATGTAGAATTTAATAAAGTTCTGATTTTACTTAAATATTTACTAACGCATTCTCCAACGTGATTAGAAATACGCTAACTTGACGAATATTGGAGAATCATTTTAATGATTAGTTTCTTATCGTAAGTGGGAGATCAGCATTAAGCAGTTTCAATGCCATTGATAACAATTAAACTGTACGCTGTACGACGTCAAAACTCGAACCGCGTCTTCTAGCTACCTCCAAGTATTTTCTATCGTGAATTCTATCGTTTCTTTCAATTGCCCTTCAACGTCCGTGATTTCCGGTGTTCTTTCGCTCTTTATTGTTGCCAAACCTCTTACGACTTGCTCCAACCGAGATCGCACTCATATTTTAAGTATCGTGTCATTAGCTCAATTAATTTATATACAAGCGTGAAAGTCCATTCATTTGAAACAGAAATCTCTGTTTTAATGAGAAACGAGGAGGATGGCGCAGATGTTGATAAGTCGATAATTTCGAAACTCGTTCGCCGTTTGAAAATACTTGAAACCAGAAAGACTAGTTTCCGATCACGAGCGGAGATCTGTCGGAGCGTATGTACATACATACACGAGCTAAACGCACATGCTGTCCATGCGCTCGAATAAACGCGTACATTACTCCCGGTACGGGTATCCTTCCTTGCTTATCGAATTAAAAGAAAGGTAATTACCCCACTTCTTTCCCGTGTGACCGCAGTAAGTGCCCTCGACCGGGTCGTGAATGAAATCTTGAAACTCTTTCCAGCGCGTCTTATGCTCCGGCACTCGGTTGTAATCGAACTCGTATGTACCGTTCTGCAATTGTTTCCCCGACACGCTCATCTCGGCTACACGTTATCACTCGCGGGATCGCACGATTTCTATTAGAACCCGGGACGATCGTTTCCCGAGCGAATTCTACTCGAGCTCGCTCCGTGGGTCCGAGTACGAACAGAAGAAAAAAAAAGAAGAAGAAGAAGAAGAGGATATGACGTTCAGCGAAGTTGTACTCCGCTTGAGCCGAAACAGCTCACTACTCTCGCCGTTTCGAAGAGAGCCGAGTGATACCGCGTGCAACCAAGCTCGGTGGCGCGATCGGCTCTACCGATCGCGTAGTGGGAAATGCGAAGATATCAGAGAGAGAGCCCACGCTCCCCGCTTTATAGCTGACTCACACTTAACAATTCGTTCAGAAAATATAAATTCGCGCGGCGGTATTCGAAAACGGACCACCATCGTTCTAAATCGCTGCTGCGAGACGCGTTCGAAACTTCGTCTGCGATTTTATTTATAACGTCGATTGGACATGTCGTGTTTCGTTGACTTCATTAAGAATTGTACAACTTGTGACACGAAGATATTATTCCGGATGAGTCCTTTTGAAAGAGTTCGAGGACAAAATGCGCTGAATTGTAAAGGCCTGATCATCGGGATCACGGGAAGATGACGTGGCGAGGGCAAAGTTAAAAATTGGACAAATAGAGTCAGAGTTCGAAGATAGGAGAAAATATACAGGTATGAGTAAAGACTTACATAGGATGATAAAATTTTGGCATAAAAAATAGTAACTCTAGTTTTAAGGGAACTCGTCTTAATTCTCTTTCTTCTTACACTAACTTGAATACTAAATAACATTATGACATATACTAGCTCGTTTAACTTCGTCCTGTTAATGCTTTTTATTTTTATTTAAGAACTCATGCAATCTTAAGTTCATGCATGTTTCTTTCTAATAAATTATTGAATATGAAGGGTCTTCGCATGTTTCGATGCTTTTAACATTTTTATTCTTTATCGTCCGAATACTCGTTTAAGTTCATGCATGTTTTTGTATATGAAAAAATTCTTGAACACTGCTCAATGTTTCAAGAACATTCAATTTCTGCGTATTACACTAATTTCTTTAAACGGAACTATTTTTACATATCTCAATGCACCTAACATTTTTATGCTTTAGCTATTCTTTGAATTTGTTGAATGTTTGCTTATTGTTTGTTGAATACTCGTCCGTACCTTATCAGGTAATTCGCGGAAGGAAATTAAACCGAATGCCAAATGTAAAATCAACTCCTCTTTCTTTTTAACACTATACTCAATAGAATGCAAATCAAATAAGGAGAATGAAATTCATTCGTAAAACTCTTAAAATTCATGTAGATAGTCAAAGGTAAATCGCTTAATGCCACTGTCCGACAGTGCGGGATTGCAGATAAGTAATTAAATCTTTAATTCGACTGAACACCAATTGGCAATTAACGTTTAGTTCGGACTTATTAAGGCTTAAAATTAATTCGGACTTGTTAAGAATAAAAATGATTTAATTAGCTTAACTGGAACAAAGTCGAATTAACGATTGAATTTCAGAATTAAAAAATTTTCGCAGAAATCTACAATCCTGGTGTTACGGTATTATGACATATGTTACGGTATTTAGAAGATATTCGAAAGCAACCGCGTTCACGCAGATAGTTCCATTTCCTTCCTTGCCGTTGGCAGCTCGAGTATCCCTATAGCCTAACAGTTTTAAAATTGTTTGGATCGTCAGTTGAATGAAACGGTTAAGTGCGGTCACGAGGACCTCCGCGTTACTCTCGTGAAAAATGTCGAATTTCCAAAATGAATATAAAAAAAAACCATTAGGTTTTGCGAACGTGGGTCAGCAACGCGTTTTTCGAGCGATACAACATGAGAAGGATCGTAAGAAACAAAGGGCTGCGAAGTTCGATGGTAATCGTAACCTGATGACATCGGACGGATCAAATCAGACGAGGAACGAGGGTTCGTAAACACGCCGATGTTATTCCATTTTTATACGAAACGAAACGATTTAAATGTATCGAATCTAAGCACTCTTTCGGGAATAATAATATATAGAATGCTGATTTTTATGCGAGACAAACAAGTTTGTGATATCATCGTAAAAAATGTATTTTAGGTGAAGTTAGTGAATTCATTTTATCACTTAAATATTGTAATATTTACTATAAATGCATAAAATCCACTGTCTAATATTGTCTATCATATGTCTGATATTCTACCGTTCAATGAAGTATATTCTCTGAATTTTCCATAAATCCAATACGTCAAATTTGCAATTTACTGATTATATCTATACCAGTTCCCTTACTGTTATATCAATGCCACTGTAATTTGATTACAGAAATACCAGTAGCTACGAAGCCCGATCGTGCAACTAAATTTTTGAAGTGGAAGCAGGAAAAAGAAAAGCGGAAGAGACTTGAGCAAACTAAGAAGAAACCATTCGTGGTCGGTGTAGTACACCATAAAATATATTCCCCAGTTGTGAAAGATTCAAACGATTCAAAACCAAAACCATGCTTACACCAAATGAGACATACTCATGTACCTAAACCTGATCCTGTCCCAAAGAGAATTACTAAAGCGACAGAAAAGAGGTTGCAGAGTAAAGCAGCAGAGAACAAAACAAATACGAAAGTTCCGTTCAAAAAGCCAACAGCTATGAACAAAGATAAGAAGGATAAGAAATTGGAACAGTCCTTCAGTGTTAGCAGCGTTAAAGTAAAGACTGAGGAAATGCCTGTACGTTTATTCGGTCGAGTGACCATGGAGAGCATGACACCTGTTCCAAGTAAATCATTTAAGTCTCCGGCCGTGGAAATTTCAAAACTAAATAGCAGTATTACAAATAATGTAATACAGCCAGATGATGCATCAATGATAGGTGCAAAGGATTATCTTAACTGCACTGGAGATAGTTCTATAGAAGCTGTTGCACTGCACTTGTCGTCTGATGAGAAGGAGACACCTAATCGCGACAGCGGTGAAGATAATGAAAAGAAGACTAATAACAGTATTACAAGTAATAGGTCCTTGTCGGATTCTCTGCGTGAGCCGGTCTTTTATTCGCCTTACATAGTTTCCAGCCGTGGAAAAGACAACGCGAGGAAGGAACAGCAACTGAAACGTGGTTTCAGTTTAGGTCGCTCACCGAAAGATGATATTCCTACAAAAGAGACCGTCATGCAGAATTTGAATATTTCCATTGAAGATGAGGAACGTACGGCACAGTACTTCCAGTTTCTTTTGAACCGGGAAATAGAGAGATTGAACGATTTATGTGACAAGTGGGCGAAGATTCAAAATGAACCGGAGACCACGGAAGACGGCCGATACGAGATAAATCAGGCTATTGGCCAAACGAATTTGTTGATGAATAAGAAATTCGAGAGATTTAGGAGGCTGGTCGCGGATTGCGAAACGGGCAAAGGGGAAATGTTAGTCACGTGTAAAGACTTGCAGGGATTTTGGGACATGATGTACATGGAGATAGAAAATTGCGACGAGAGGTTCGAGAAATTAGAGAAACTGCGTGCGCTGGGATGGGAGCAGATCGAATCTCCTGTCAGAAAACCAGTTGTTAAAAAGAGGAACATTGCAAAGAAGAAAGTTGCACCCACGAGATCAAGTTCCCTCAGGAGTTTCTTGGCACGGAAAAGAAACATGGCAATTGAGACAAAGAATGTCGAGTCAATGGAAGCTGAGTCTAAACCAGAAAACAACGCAAACAAAAGCATTAACGACAAATTTACGCGAAGATCTTTGTCGACGAATCCCAGTCCGATGAAATCTATCAGCAAACGATCAAGTTTATTACGAAAGGTACAGCTGTCTGAGAATTCGAAGAAGATGAAGAGTCCGTTGATGTTAATGAAGATCAGTCAAATGTGTAAAACGCCAGTGGTCATGCTGGACGACACAATATCGTATATTAATTCTGATCAAACGCCTGCGAAGAGTATATTGAAGCAATCGAAGAATTCCGCTGAGACGGAGTCTCGAAAGCTGCCAAACAAAGTCAATTTCGATGATCAAGTGGTATTGAACGATATACCGGTTGATGAAGAGACTCAGGTAAAATTGAGTTTGGCAGCGGCATTGACCAGAATAGACAGCTTGGACCTCGAGTCTCCGGATGAATTCGTTGTTAAAGCAGAAAGGAAACTCAATTTCGATGACAGCTTCGACGAACGTAGAGATAACGACGTTACGCCGAACAACACCTTAAGTAAGTCAAGTTCTGACCCAGAGGAAACAGAAAAACAGTCGCAAGAATCGAAAAGAAACCGGAACACACGAAGGAGAGGCATCAGAAGGCAAAATGCCGTCGATACAGGCGTCGAGAAATTAGATCGAACTGGGATTTCCTCAGAGAATGTAGAAGACGCTACTTCCTTATCGCACGCTCGTACCTCGACGCCGTTTAAAGAAATTAAAGGCGATGTAAATGCATTGGAACAAGAACAGGATCTTGTTAGCGAAAAGGGCGAGACGAATGAAAACGATGGAAGTATTCGGATCCTGAGAAACAGAACCATCGCGCCGTCCGATACGACCAGTGCTCGAAAATCGAAAAAAGCCAATATACAGGAGCCAGAGTCGAAAGAGAATGAAATACCTCAAAGGAGGAGGAGAAGTTCTGCTGCGATTAACAGCAACAAAAATGAAGTTAACAAAGTTACTCCGATTGATAACGAATCAGAAGGTACCAAGAGGAGGTCTACGAGAAACGTGAAATTCTCAGGTAATGTAGCATTATATAAGGGAAATAATTAATATTTTGATCTTGAAATGTATTTCAATTGAATAAATACATTTAATTGCAGAGTCAGAGGACAATAATAGAGTGAATAAACCAGCACTACCGATGACTCCCCACGTTAAAAGTAGAAGGAAATCTAGCAGGAAGTCTCTAAACGTAGATAGCTCTCTGTCGTTGGAAGTACCCGAGAGACGTAAGTTGTTTTAATTATCGTGAACACTGAATCATAGATAAAAGTTATATTTAATATGTTTAATTTCAGCTCCAGAACGAGTTCGAAGGTCTCAAACGAGAAGATCAACAAACAAGCCGCAGATTGACACTTGAGCTGTTTATCGATAAACATGCATGCGTACGATTAAAGTCTGAATGTTTTTACCATTACGACTTGTTATGCTCTTTTATTCTTTAACTTTAAAATATTTGTATTCCGAATATATGTTCAAGCGTTAGCATTTAATGTTTCAGGCTATAATATAGATTTGTTAAACGAGAAATAATGAAATCTGTATAAGCGGTTCCAAGGCTGTACAGGTTACATGTTAATAACACTTTTCAGTGCGTTATGGGCATATATCTTTGTAAAATTGATAAGAATGAATTTTATAATAAAGATCAATGTATAAAGACTGACTGAAGATATTTTTATTGTTCTAAACAGAAGGGAAATGATGGGTACGAGAATGGTAATCCTCATGGTGGAAGAAAACCAAGATTTACTCATGAGATAATAATTGATAATTTCCGTGGAGAGCCAAGGGAGCAAATCAATTTTAACACCGGATAACACAAACGACTCATTTCACTGACAGGGAAATAACAATTTCCTGAATGTTCACGCGGTACATGATGATTTTTCCTGCTTTGCAATATGTTTGGAAAATTATATCTAAAATTATATCTATTGCATCAATTAGTTTGAAATTATACTAGTTACTTTCCTGATCTCTCCCGTCTTTGCCCGTTGAAATATCTTAATGAAACTTGATAGACACTTAAATAAATCCTTCTTAAGCGTGTCTCTTAAATTTTATCCAAATTGGTGGGTGGATTGGAAGCCGGTAGTTGCAATTTTCTCTCTTGGATTTCGCGAGGAGTCCCACGTGTTTCCATGGCACACATGTCATGGCACGGTCTGTGCGCGCGCCTTTACAGTCACATGACTCGAGTCCAGTAGGTGCTGCCACCGCTAGCTGCGCGGAGTAAGCCAGTATTAGAATTTGAAAATGGTGTCGAACGTGCTATCTCCACAAAATTATATATATCCCGATTGTTTATTTACCGATTAGGACGAAATTTTAGAGGTACGTTCACGAACGATTTGTGTAAGTATTTCTTAAGTTTCATTAACATATTTCAATAAGAGAGACGAGGGAGAGGCGAGAGAGTTCTGGCACGATTTTGCTTGATCTCATTGGCGTTCGACAAGATTGAATTAAGAGATTTTGATCTTGAGATCATATTTCTTTCAAACTTGTGAAGTGTTATTTGCGTCTGGCACATTTCGAAGTTACAAGTGTAGTGTAGGAAAAGTGAAGATCTCGTCGAGCAACATCGAGGCGCGGTTGATGGAAACGATCTGCCGGCATGAACATCGACGGGATGGAATCGTTGGACAGACGAGAGCGTAAGTAGTATAAGTACATTCTTGTCATTATTTTACCCTTTCACATAATTATAACCTGTAATATACACCTGATCTAAATACATGCCCTGCGTACGTCGCAAGCATATTTTTGCATAAGATTAGATTGTTCAGATGTAATATTACGTTAGTATTCAGAATATATTAACAGTACAACTTTTGCCAACCGAATATTCAGTCGTAATTCGTAATTTGATTCGTATGAGACCGAACGTTGTACGTAAGAGTATAGAAACTTTACGAGGATCACGAATCTCATGAAATTGAAGGGAAAAGTTTTAGAGCGAGGTTTACAGAGTAATATTTCTATGAAAAGTTGAATCGATGATTCCTGAACGTATTTCGCACTCGTCAAATGAAAAGAGGTGGGCAGGGGGAGAAAGGGCACCCATGAGAATGCGAAAGTTTCCTGAAATCGCGTAGTCAGGGGTTTTCATCCATGTATTTTGAATGGCTTTGTCAACTTTTGGAAAATTCATCTGCTAGTAACTCTTAGAAAAATGCTGTTTCGACTAAATGTGTTTTTCATTCTTTGTCTATCGTTATATATAATTTATATCTATATTACTCGTGAACTTTCTCAAATATGTTATGAATTATTAAAGTTATAATTGAACGTAGCGCACAATTAATATATTCTCTTTTCTTTTTCGTGGGTATCTTTGCGATGATTAAATCCTATGAAAAAGAACGACATAAAATAATAAAAGCCGATTCATTGTAAAATAAATTCAGTGAATCGAACATTCCCTGGCAATAGTATTTATAAACGAGGCTCTGTTTCTCTAATCTCAGAGAGCATCCGTTGAAACCGTCGCATTATCGTCAGTCTGACGCTGTCCAATGTACATAGATAGAAAGACCAGCGATAAAAGTTAAAAGCGTTCTATTTTATTCTACATTTGAATGCAATAGCCAATTAGTCGTCCCGAATATTCTTGTATTTAGAACTCTGTAGGCATTGTTTACAATTTTCGTCAAATCCTAAAGAAACGAAACGAATCTAGCGTGGTACAAAATTTAACTAAATCGAGAGGAAATGAGAATTAAGTTGACTTCATTACGGATGCTGTTCAAGTTGATGCACCTTGATTAACGTAAAAGTGGTTACTAATTTAATGTAGTCTGACAGAGATCAACAGGGGCAAAAAGAGGAAGGTGGGGAGAGAGAGAGAGAGAGAGAGGAGTAAGTGGACACGGTAAGGGAGAAAGGGAAATAAGCCCCCGTTAAGCCTATGAATGCTCGCCGAGCGCCGATAACAGAATTACTGCTGAGGGTTGTTTACATCGGGGCTAGTGCACCCGCGTCCAGGGAAGCTAATTGTTTTAACCACCCGTACTTAACTACGCGGCTCAATAACTCTCGGATTTATGTAGCCACCTATGGGAGGCCATGGCACAATAACGGCTTTAACGAAGCCGATGATAACATTCGCAATTACTCTATGAATAAAACTTCCGTCTATCCCGGAAATCTCGTGTGATGAAGAGAAAATTATTTTGATCCTCTCTCTATGGAACATCGTTTATCGATTCCCGGGATTAGTTACTTCCAAACGTCTTTAAAGAGTCACATATGTCATTACGTCAGTTATGTGCCATGTAAAGTATTCGTCATTTCCTGAGCTGGTATCACGGCTTTCCGTCGATATAAACGTTAAACACAGTCGAGAAGCGAAGAATATCGAATGTCTCTGTCCCTCAAAGAATCTGTAACTGTAACCGGAAAAGTGAATAAATGCAGGGAACGATAGACTCCTCTTTCTCGAAGACAGAGAACGGTTAATAAGGTGAAAACTGATTTACGTAAGAGTCTGGCAGAGACATTTTAATCACGCGCAAACTTGGTTTCTATCAACGACGTATCGTTTTCATGCGTCTTCAAAAGAGTCGAGCGTAAAACGAGAAACGGGAAAGAAGGATTTAAATTCAGTGGAGACGGAGGAAAATGAAACGTACGGTCGCGGTACTTAGAGCGTTTGTGATTCTCCGCGGATCGGGCATTGAAATTCAAAGGAAAGCCCTCGAGCAAAGGTGTACAAGTTTTTGCAGCTGGCATTACCCTTCCCTCCCGTCCTACCTACCTATCTACCCTCTGCCGTCTATTTCTTTCCGGTCTTCTAACTTTCCGTTCTGGCTACCGCGCGCACATACCGATTCGTGATTTAATTCCGTGACAAGGGAAAGTTCGACGATTGCGAACGCGAGATCGACGGTAGCACCGGCTGCTCGAGGGTCGCTCGACAAATTTGTTGGGAAATTTTGTAGTAGATTTAGGTAAGTACCGGGGTTCGATGGGTCTCGCGAAGTTCGTTTCGCTCGAAACCAAGAACAAATTCGTTTCCTTTTGTCGTCGGTGGGATGCGAACATTTTTTATAACCACCAAGTTTTCAACGTTTAGCTCGAGCAATGGCGTAAAACAATTCTTCCTCGGAGTATGACTTGACGACTTGCAAATTCTAAAGTAGACTAATTCAGGAGAGTAGTTCGAAAAATATGGAACGCATCGTGACACGGAACTTATTTTATATACGCTGTGAAAAAGGGAGTGAAACACAAAAGCCGATATATTTAGGTATCGAGCAGTGTACCAGGGAAAATATAATCGTAGGTGTTTCCATTGGTGACTATACGTGTAGCGTGTGTACGTACCAAACTCTGATTGGAGCAAATCCACGTAAACTCGTCTCCTGGCAGGGTGGCTACAGGAAATTCAGAGGAAAGTTTATCGTTCGGTCGGCAAGTGCCAACACCGCACGCTACCTTGAAAGGCTTCGTTGTATTGTAAACCCGATTTCAGGCTCGGGGCGAAGAGTGAGCCAGGGGTGAATGCATCGGCTGCTTACCTCATGAAGTATTACATTCAATCTTTGAAAAGAGCGCGAGCCTATATAGTTTCCTCCTCCGATTGTTTCGTTACGTCTCTCGGTCTGAACATGCAATCGGAAACGAAACATTTTCGTTCTTTCACACAACAGAATATAAGTTGGTAAAAGATAGAATTTCCATGATTCTTTAATTACTTTCATTAATTAAAAACTGTGGTTCGGGCGATTTAATTTCGATAAGGAATTCGAAAATGTTTTCAGTTAGGTGAGAGGAATTTGGGATGGCGAAGGTTCTTTGCCGAAACTCGTTTTTGCGCGACAGTTGATAGTGGTAATGCCGTGCGCTCGGTTCCATAGAAGTAGTACGAACTTTTAATTAGGTGCACGCTCCGGCTCTGTGGCACCGACGCGACGTAAGAGTGTATGCACCGAGGCGTGTTCTGACCACGCTAAGAGATCGATTTCTCGCTATAATACAGCGAGCTTTCGTTTCTTCCTTCGCTTACACTTACAGTTCGTTGAATCGTAATAGCTGTTTTGTATAATTCATCGTTTCAATTAAAAGTAATGATTAGCCTGCAGATTTTATGCGTTTATGAGAAATGTACAAAGAGAATGAATGCTGCATGTAATGGATAAAAATGTATAGGGTGGCAAACGCTAAATGAATATTACAACGTTTAAGAGATAAATTTCTGTTTAAAACACATCTTTTTAACCGACACTGAATAGTTTATTTTCCGTAAAAATCCACAGTTTATAAATGATAGAAGTTCTTGTGTCAATGGTAAAATCGAAATACAAAAGAAAAGTTTGTAGCATCGTTTGCAGGATATCTTTTGATTAGACGTCGAATGAAATTGAATATTGGGTAAAACGAGTTTCGGAAAATTTCACGTGGTTCGGTCGATATTGCAGGATAGCGACGTTTAATCACTACGAAATTAGGATAACCCGGTGTGCTGGAAGCCCGTGATTAAGCCGAACCTCCGACAACCTGGCCACCTATGATGTGGTCTTTCAAAGTAGATATACATGCCCGGTACAGAAGAAGATGCGGGGTAGAACGGAGAAAGACGAGGGATATATTTGGTAGTTGGTGTTCGTAATCAAAGACCCAACATTGCGATATCGAGAGCCGCTCAAAGTTCAAGCCCCTCTTTCCCTTTGTAGTTTCCCTCCGTCATCGGGTACTATCAGGTCTCAAAATCAAGAAGCTGAGAGGGTTCTATGCTCTGATTCGTATTCACTGCCATGCAATTGCTTCGAGTACGTGATATCCATTACAACAAATCTCTTACAGTTCATTTAAATCATATAATACCTCAAAACTCGTCGAGTAATCACAATTTTTTGTCAATTCTCATAATTACGACATTTAGTCAAATTATACACATTTTTTTCTGTTAATGATTTCTATATTATTTTTTATCACGAAAGGTTTTCGTTGGTGATTATTAATCGTGCTCCTGAGTTGTGATGTTAGAAATGTATTTGAATACCATTGATACGTTCGATCGGAATTTTTATTTTCCTCGCGAGAAGTGGCGGAGGGATCTTTCGTATCGCGTTTTCCGTTCATCGGAAGTCGGACGCCGATTACTTGCCACCTGGCCCGACCACCACTCACTGTAATTGCATTTCCGCGGCGATCGATGCGCGTTATTGTTGAATCGCGCATTAACGACGTCATTAATTCAGGCATGCGACGTGAACGAGATTGTTCGCCCATACATACGTACATATGTCGAGAAGATTACGAAACGGCAAGCTATGCCGCTTAACGATCAGCGTGAATTGTACACCGTTGAAACGACATCGCGATATTTAAAAAGAGGAAAAGAGAAAAGTACAGTTTGACGATTTTGTAAATTTTTATTTTCTCATTATAAATATCGGTTCTTAATTAATTCCAATGAATGCTTTATGAAGAGTAAACGTACGCTATGGTAACTAGATTGCGGATTTTATACACTGATAAGGAAAAGTACGTTCCATTATAATACGAATAATCAATTGCATATTGCAGTGCTAAAACGATAAGAGAAATTCCTATTTAAAATGTGTTGTGTAAAAATTCGATTGATAACTGGACTAAGAATAAAAAGGAATAATTCTTAATTACACAGCAAGGATAGAATAAATCAGAGGTTGGAAGTTTTGAGCAGAACTCGGCAAGAACATTTTTATTGAACATTAAAACAATGTATGTTGTTAGTCGCTTTGCGAACTTCGCCTCGGCATCAGAGATTTCGCGGCCCGAACAAATATTATATTATAGAATAACTTTCCCCGAGTTGTTCGCGTAATTACGAAATTTAATTAGCTGCACGGGTTGGTCCCAACGGATTTCAATATCTCGCGCGGTGCTTCTTTCGCTCTAACGATCCTTCCTCCGCGTAAAAAAATTGGAATCCGACGAAAGGCAGGAATCGAAGGTAACCCGGTCGATCGGCGAGATACACGCCTGCGTGAATTGTATCAAATTCCTTTAAAGTTACGATTCTTCACGTCGCTTTCTTGTCTTTCCATCCGTCGCGAACTTCGCTAACGAACGTCGAATCCTTCAACGAATAATTAAGCAGGGCCTCTAATTACGCGTAGTGGAGCTCGCGCTCGTATCTAAGCCGGTGTCTTCCTCCTCGACGAGTCGAACTTGTACACGCGATACATGGGCGAGTACGGCTTGACCTCTCCGTCGCTGTCACCTTCGTCTCCCGTGGGATCGTCCCTGTCCGGTTTCGAGGATCGATATATTTGACTTTTCTCGTACTGCGGCGCTGTCGGAAGAAACGTTCAGTTTAGTTTTCCCAGTAGTAGAACTACGTACTCGGTCAATAAACGACTTCATCGGAACACCCGAGTCAACTCTAGTTCAAACGTTGAAATGTTTATTAAAGAGAATTCTTTACCGATGTAGGCATACCTACCGGAGTAAGAAAGGCGTCGAGGGGGTTTTCAAGGAACAGTGAGTTAAGTCGAGGTGTGGAAATGTAAGTATGTGGGGTGAGATTTAGCAGAAAGGGAACGTCACAATGTAGAATATAAAAGAGGAGAACTTTTATCATACATACGACGGAACGACTGAGTGATGAGGTATATAAGGAATGGACACAGAATATGGAGAGCAAAAGTAATTGGGAGGAGGAAATAGAGTTTTAAGAGACCTGAATAAAAAGTTATTTATTTATAATTTCGAATTTGAAAAACTAGCGAAAGGGCAGACTGGCAATGGTAACCCACAACTATAGAGTTTATTACAAGATTGTTTAGCTGAATATAACTAGTGATCTCCAGGGGTTGACTAGACATAAAAGTGTACGTAAATATAATGTAAGAGAATTTAGATGTGTTTCCCGTTTCTTTTGTTAAGAGTTTATTCTGTAATGTATATAGTAAACGAGGGCACGTAGGTATGGAATAAAACGATAAGACTGTGTAATCAAAAGGTGTACAGTGTGAATGGTAAACAAAAAAATAGTAAATTCTTTACGGATTATTAAAGATTTTATCGTTGGTCTATGATCGATATATTTTTGGAACGGACTTCGTTGATCTTTGAGTTCGGATGAAACTTTTGATTGCAAGAGACGAACAGCGAAGGTTGCTGACTCCCCGGGGTATTAATATTTGCATTCGCGAACAGGGGAGTAATCTAAACTGTTAGTTCCCGCAAATACTACTAATTAACGTGGATCGATTGTGCATCGTTCGATGCGGTACTTACAGGACAAACACGGTCCTGCAGTTCTCATTTTCGCCGAGTTTTTCCACGCGTCCTCGTTGCTGTATTCTTCGGAGCCCGCGATACACGCCGGCCCGTATGAAAAAGCTTCCGCCGCCGCCGCGTCGGCCGTTTTTTGCGGGGACTCGTAATTTTGAAGTGGCACTGTACCTACCACTATGTTTGTTCGCAGTTTCATGTTCTTCTGAAACATTCTGTAGTACCACTCGCTCACGTCTATGCACGCCTCGACCTTTTCACGAATCAAAAGAGAAAATATACTTTAGCCACGGGCACAATCGGCCAAGACGTATTCAAGCTGTGTACTCGAGGATCTGATTAATTTTAATGAGCATCTCTTTTTTTATTCGATAGTTGCAAAAATTTTCAAGTACGATTTAAATCACAGAACTAAGTGCATGTCATTTGACATTCCTTTATATCGTTCATAAGATTCTTTCGAAATACTATTGATTTTTTTAGTAGAATCAAACATTTCTCATTTATTTTTGCAACCATCGATGGTAAAGTTAATATGGATTAGGATTGTTCCGGTGATGTGGAACTCGTATTGATTCCCGTTTTGACTTTGATCGCCTCGCTAGAGATGTTGTAACAGTCTCACTTTGAGTGTGTACAGAACGTCGATGATGTTGCAGTGGATCATCCCTGTGGGTGGTACTGCAGGAACGTCAAACGGGACGTCGTACGTGTCGGAGTCATTATTAATCGGCTGATCTACTTCTACTACGATTTCTTTGTGCTTACGTGACTTTTCCGACGAGTGATAAGTCACCACCTAAGGAAATATATTCAACATTTAGAAGGATAGACATGTAATAGAAAGGAAATATGTGTCGTGATCCAGAAACGTTTACTCTTGCGTTGTGAAGGGGTGCTGCGTCTTAAGATATAGGCTGAGTCAGTAAAAAGAATATTATTTTCAATCATCGAAGCTCTATAGAAATATACATTTGATCCTAATGATTTCTATGGATTCACACATCTGAATATATTTTTGTACTTTTAACTGACTCACACTTATTGAAACTAAAATCACTTCCCAGTGCAGTAGTACTATCTACGATCTATGATGCATGTCAAAAATCAAGTTCAAATGAAAAGTGCTCAGCGTGCAATTGGAAAAAGCTCACGTAAAGCCGTGCTAGATTACATACAGAGAAACAGGATTACTTTTTTGAAAACGATTCTGAGTTTCTTAACCGCGATCGTGGACGAGTTGGTCATGACTATTTTGATCGGTATGGTTTGGCCAGGTACGTAACCATGAACCGGCAGGGACATGGACAAATTCAAAGGTTCCGCCTGACCCATGTAAACCTTCGATTGTTGTACGTGTATGGGCAACTGGAATAATTATCCATTTGTGTTAGCGCAAGTGTTTCATTGCATCGACCCATTTCCATCATTCTACGATCAGTATACGAATTGCTATAGGGAAGAATTATACATATAAAACGAATTACTTTATCAATCGTTATATGAAACGTCGTATGAACGTTGATTATAACATTTATTTAATTAGTGCACGATGGAAATGAGTCACAAGGTCGTGCGAGTTTCAGTTTCGACGATTTGGGCGACGGAATATCAATGGTTGTCAGATTTCTACTCACGGGAGCGAGGGGATCTCGATTAAGGTCAAGAATAGGAGCCACCGTGAATGGAATAATATTGGTGGAAAACCGATAAATGGTCGTTACGTCCAACAATGCCCTAATCGAGTACCGTACTCGTCCGTATCGGCCCTCGAAGCTACAAGGCAAGTTCTCTGGAAGCGTTAAGCTGAACGGGTAGTCGCCGCCGGTTATCATACACTTTTCTTTACCATCTAACCGTGACGAGAATCTGTTAAATCAACGTCCAAACCCCTTGGCGCGTAACCAGTCATTGCCGAGTCGTGTACTCACCGCCTGCCAGGAACGTTTCCGAGTGGAGATAATTCTCGAACGCCGAAAACTTGCGTCGGATGCCAGCCGATCGATCGGTGAAATACACCTGAGCCTCTCCTTTGCACTTAAATCTAATCCCTGCGTTGAAAAATAACGCGGAACTTACGCCGATGGTCGTAGCAAAATTTCAATCGAGAGCCGTAGAGTCGTGAACCTTGACCTCGATGACAATTCTAATTTTAACAAGCTTTCCTTCGGTAATTTCGATTACTTTTGAACATGTGTCAGTTTTGTCTAGTTAAATGCACCCTACAGTGTCAACTAATTACTCTATGTATCTATCCATCAGACGGAGAGAAACTAACATATAGATTGAAATGTAATTAGAGAGAGAGAGTCGGTAGGCGAGAAGTAGGATTAACGAGAATCAGAAGGGCAGAGTTATCAGGCACGTGCATAAGACATGTCCATATTTCACTAGTGTATAATAGCATTAAACGTGCTGGAACGTTCACTCTTTAACATATATGTAGAGAAGAACTAGCTATCTCCGTAGTTTATCCGTTCCTGCAATACCATAATCACGCGGTACGTCGTTTAACAGCGTAGTATGAGCCTCCGGGTCGCCCGTTATGCAACACGATCGATGACACGTTTGGCACGCGTTCGAATCTGATACCTACAGGAGACATTTTTTGATTGCGAAGCGACAATAAGAGTAAACATCGTCCCGAGAATAAAGTTATGTCGCCTCGTTACAACGAGTCAGTCGAACAGCTCCTCGTTCCCACGTGCATTCCTGTTCACGAGTCTTAAGATCGTCCCAAGTGTCTATTCAAAAATCTGACAGGTCTTTCATCAGAGAATGTATCCGTTTCAAAAATCATGTTCGATCATGTGCATGTAGGCAAATTTGTAAACTTAACACGCGTCTTGTAATTTTAATTATATTTCATTATTGGTAACAATGTTAAAAAGGAATGGTTTTTGATCGACTTACCTAAAACGTGTACTGGCTCGTTCACGTGTAAGTGAACGGTCCCTGAGATCTGATGTCCGCTGTAATAGACCTTTTGAGGGTGATCCAACGTGATATCGATGCGTTGGAAGCCAATGCTGATCGCAGCGAATCAGATGGACAGAAACACATATTTTGGAAAGGATTGATCAGGGATACGTCGGTTTACGTCGTACCTTTCAGCAAGCGTCGTAGTGATCGTAGGATCGGTCTCGCATTCAGCTTCTATCTCCATTTCGATACGCACAATACCTGCGGGTAGCTTCTCGATTACTTCTGCAAGAGATCACTCTCCGTCAGGTTTTCTATGATCACTTCCGATTGAAAGTTCACCATATGAAAAATCACTTTTGACAGAACGTCCATCCCCTGTTCGTAATCGAATACTCCCGGAGCAATGAAGAATCTTCTGAACTAGTCGAATGAGAGCACCGCCGCGACCCGATACCGAAGGAGCAGAAATCGGTGTATGACTCGAAGACGCAGTGGTGCTGTTTTGTTGACAAGATTCCAAAATTTCACCGAGCCCATGAAGCGTCGACGCGACGCATGCGTCAGTCGGTTCGCCAATACCCCAGCGACGTTCTATCGCGTACCAGAAAATAACCTTTGCTCTTTCGCTTCCTCTGGCCCGGATAATCGAAGGACTCTCCTTCGCCGCTCTCGGCGCGCTCGGAAGTCCTACTCTTCTCGGCTAGGCCTAGGCGTAGCTGGATGCACGTCGCAGTAGCGTAGCTCCGAATTAAGGACGCCGCGAGTAATGGGGGCACCCGTATCGACCAATTGAGCATCATCCCGGCGAATGACTCGCGATGTTTAAATTCTGTCGCATCGCTACCACCTTTGACCTTTTGGTCAGGTCTAAGAATACGTCGTAATGACGAATGATGCGTCTGTCTAAAACAGACTTTTTAATTGATACCACAGAGCCTGATCATCGATGACTGGCATTCGAAATTTTATACGAAGCGCACTCGTGCAGATACGGTAGGTACACGTGCACTTTGAAAAAGTGAAGATGAGCTCAAGGCCGTTGCTAAGGATTACGTGTACTGAATTTATGACGTGGCCTTAACCCCTTCACTCGCTTCGACGTGAAAATGATTCGCCGATTATTTTTATACTCGACGCTCTCTCTTTTTATTCAGGAGAGAGCTTAGAAAATATCCCTTCTTCTTTTTCTCTCAATGTATCCTGTAGCAATTAGTCTGGCGAGGATTTCGGGAGAATGGATACGCAAAGAGACTGCGGAATTTTGAAATAGCTTTCGGTGTTAAGGACGTGTGCAGTGTCCGTGCGCACCTGCATACCCAATGCAGCAAATTTAAACTACGACGTGTTCAAAGTTCACGAAACCGGCTAAAAGATCTCTATTAGCGTTCTCACATTCTTCTCTACTCCATTTGCAATCTTCCACGGATATCTCGGAGCAGAGTTAACTTTCGGTAGAAACGCTTAATGAACTTCTCAAATCGAAACCGCTCTAATATGTATAAATAGGAGATGACCAGGCTGTGGGTTTTTATGCAAAGCAAAGCGTCAGTGATGTTAGTTTCAAATATGAAATCTCGATTGAGGAGGTTTAATTGTATTTAATATAATTAATTGTACGACCAACAGAAACTTAAACAGCCGGGTTATAAATAAAATTTTGTACAGTGTTTTATTATCAGTGTTATATATCTAGTAACTGTTAAAATTTCAATGTTTTGTCACTGTTTTTATATGAGGGTTCATACAACCTTAATTGCGAGCCGAGTTTCCTCGTTCTTTAATCATCGATTTACTTTTGGTAAATCCGTGTTCTATGCACGATACCTTTTTCTCCTGTCAGCCGTCCGTTATGCGAAACTGATTACGGTTGAACGTCAGGTTTATGTTCGTATCATCGTCGGTTCCAAGCGTACGGGTTACCGATAGATAAAAAGGAAAAGAAACCAGCCCCGTCGAATAAATTCAGCTCGTTACGCACGAATAGTCAATAACTCCGTCGCATTCTTTCTTCCGTGTGTTCGTGTATCTGCGCTTGTATCTGCGTGTATCGAGGTAACTAGATATCGCGGTGAATTAATTACACGCTAGACCGGTATATCCCCTCGGTGATATAAACGATTTTAATTAGCGATCTCGTGTTCTTTCGCGAAGAGGGTAAATCACGCACTCCCCGTCTTACGTGTACCAAGGAAATTTCACAATAATACGCGGTTATTGATCGCCGCTTATCTCTGGGATAGATTGCCAAGGACTACAAGGCAGAGGAATCAGAAATAATTATTACTAGATTAATTATAGAAAAGTTTCGTCAGCAAAAAATATGATAACGTCCGTTACACGTACGATGTACGTACGCATATGAAAGATTTGAGAGTATGTAGTCTAATTATCAGAACGTGGAGATGAAAAATGAAATGAAGATATCGAAAGGGAAGATATGAGTTTTACAGTTAGTATGGTTGAAAGAGGTAGATTTCTGGCCACGGGAAATTCATCGGGACCAGTTTTGAAGAAGAATGTATTTCGATAGATATCTTTTATTCATCCTAATATGTACTCGGCGGGAGGTGTATCGCAGCTTTTTCCTCTGATGGCAAAAATCTCTTTGATGTTGCCGTTCGTTATGTATTCACTTTGTATTCAACGAATCCTTTCCAATGTCCCTTATAAGCTACTGCTGTAGAGAAAGCCGATGTTAATCCCGGCTAATAATGCGTAGACTCGTCGCAATAGATATTTCAGTATAAAGGTAAAGCCCCCTATCGCGTATTATTAATGCCGACGCGATGGTCAAAGTGACTCGGGGCCTGGAACTTCTCTTAGGATATTCATCTCAATCGGATTAAAACAGAATTATTCGTTCGCTCTGCAAATATTAGTATAGATACCCTTTCCATTCTTCTTTTACACAACAATAATCCTGACTACCATCATTCCAAAATTTAGTAAACCCTTTCAAACGTTCCATCTCACGATTCAAGAGTTCTTGCACTCCTTTTTTCAACACGTATTAAACTTTAATAATTAAAGAATAACTGAGCAAATTATGTATAGAGTCCTGAGTAAACTGCGTTTATAGAAAAGTGAAAATTCATGGACTGGTAACGAGCCGCGAGTTTCTTCCGCGACGAAGTTCGACTCGATAAGCGTTCGTGTTCCCAAGATGATTTTCCGCCTGTAATGGATTGGAAAGCTCATCGAGAGCGATTGCTACTTCGGTTTTCTTACATGTGTACTCGTATCGTTCGATTTCTGTTCTTTCTTTTTCTTTTTTTTATTGGCCGAGAACGGTTCACGGAGTCCGCGGGTGGACGTAACCGAGGCTGATTTATGACCCTCGCTCGGGACGAGGTCCTCCGGGATAGGGGAACGGCGAAACAAGAAACACGAGCGGGGGTAATAATAGTTTCTTGCAGTTCCATACGCTGGACACTGGGAGAGGGTAATCCCGGTGTCGCCATAAATTCCAATGATAATAATTACCGTGGCTGCTCGCCCGACCTCTTCCACGGACAACTCCTTCGAGTACGCTTCCGTCGCTGAAACGTCGCATAATTTTTCCGACGATGTCCCGTGAAACAGATTCCATCTCGTTTCAGTAATAATCGCGACGTGGCTGCTCCTCTCGGGCAATTCGTATTCGAACAAAGATGAATCGCATTTACGATCTTTGTCGCCTCTCTGCGATCTCCGATCGTTTTGTTTTGCGGATTTTTGAGTGATCGCGATTCGAAACGGTCGGATCGATACGTCCCGTTGGAAATGTAAATTACGAACGTCCTAATTCGGCGAGGCCTCTATCTGCGCCGGGGTTCGCGGTACCACTGGTAAATGGAGTTAGTTTCCGGAATGCCTGGATGCTTCACGCACTAACGAGTTCCTGATGTTCCACGTGCCGCAATCTCGGACCGCAGCTTCGTTAGACGGAGATAAAGCGTTGCACCAGCCGGCAGTAGCGATCTCCCTGGAAATTGCAACTAAGTGTCACTTCAGAGTCCGTCAGAAATCGGCCCGTCTTGTTAATTCGTCGACTACCATACCCCTTGACCCCGCCAAACGCTTTGCGTCGATTATGGATCTAAGAGATCAATGAAAGAGAAATGATGTCACTGAAAAAATGATTTTAGAAAACAAAAGATGACACACGATGTTCAACAAAAAATAATTCATTTTATCCGGGACGTTAATGTTGAATTTAGCGAGACAATATCGTTACATAGTAATGTACGCTTCAAAGTTGTATCAACCGTAAGATCTCTATTGATTCTGATTTATAAAATCTTATTTCTGAAACGAGGATAGACTGATCGAACGGTATGTAAAGGATAATGCGTATCATTGTTTAATGAAGAACCTCTGCACGTCTCTAACTGTACTATTACCTCGGTACAAGGAGATTACGGGCTATTGTCTTGGTCTAATAGCTCCATGTTGGCATAATTAATAATACGTCACCCGTAGTAGTAGGATATGTTGAGTGTCTGTCAGCAATATTCCACGGTATTTGGTAAACTGCATTAACTGATTAAGCTAAAGACCAGTGAATGTAATATGGTATTACATCCATCAGGAACTATTCCGTTTATTCTGTCCCTTGCAATCTTCTAATTATTTACAATTTTCGAGATCTGTCATCCGAATATTTTTGCGCTTAAATGAACCAGTGGACAGGGGCGAGAATTGAACTTGAACTGAGAATTCACTTGTAATTGCGGTATAAATCCTACGAATGGAGAAACAGGAGAACTGGTAAATAAATTTCATGCTGAATGGAGAGGTGAAATACAAAGTTGCGCGGCGTTAGTTTCACGGACGATAGTTCCGCTGGTAAAAGTGTGTCGTATTTAGCGGATCCACTTTGGCGCCCCGCGGGGAGGGTACGGAACTCTGTGTTCACAACGAAACCATCAGAAACTCGGTCAAGAGGCATCGAGGAAAACACTCGGTTACGCTCACGTTGTGAAACGAGCTTGAGTACGAGAGAAGTGGCTACTTTAGACTCGTTTAGGTTCCTCGACGTCGACGTTGCTCCCTTGCCTCGTAATATCCCCACCTGTCCACCGCGTCAACTTACAATTACTACCCCCTAGCAAAAAGTTTTTAGTTAATATACCAATCTCCTGTCGAATAACAACAATTGTTTCATACATTTTGTTGCACGTGCGGTAGGATTTTCATTTCGTGTTGGTCATTCAACTTTCCTGTTTTCGCTTGTCGTTATTTTATCACTTTTTACAGCGAACACTTGTTATTACGATAGAAGTCGCAAGAAATTCTGAATAGATTCAAATGATTCTTCAGTTTTATTTCAGGCACGTCATTAAAATATAGAATCGTAACGTAGGTAAGGGGACACGGTAACGTGAGATTGCGGGAAGACGAGACGAGAGAAAGAATGGAGAGGAGCGTTGCGTAAAATGAAATTTGACAAAGACACGGTGCTCGAAATCCAGACGCATGGGAGTCCCGCTTGCTAATTATTTGGTTGTTGAGTATCTAACGAACCGTGACTACTCATTATCCGGTTCGTTAACACCCTGACCCTACATATACACGCTGGCTCTCGCCGGCACACGAATGAAACGAGATAATTATTCGAGTCAATTGTAACGTGGCATGACATTGTACCTATTTCGCGTTTCGAAAATAACCCGTTCCGTGTCCTCGGCAACGGTTGTTTATTGAAAACAATGAAATCTAGAAAGCATCGTAAATCCGCGCCCCATCTGATACTTCATTTACATGCGTACCCTCGTACTTGATTAAATTCGATCATTTTCAAATTCCTAATTATTTACAGTATCCGCTTATACGATTGAAACTGCTGCGCTCGAAGGTACTAAAAATGAATAACGAACGGCTGCGACGGTTGACAATAAACCAGTGCGTTATATCTGCTATTCATCGAATGCAAAGATCTCCGTATCACGGATAGGAAATCCGCCATCTGTCTGTATTAATTCACGGTACATTTAGCTCGCGGAAGCTACATCATCGGGCGATAAACGCGCGGATTCGAGTCCTTTGTTCGCGGTAAAAAACCCGGTTCCGGCCGCGGTGGCGCGGAAATTCAGGAAAAATTGTTTCAACGCGGAAGATAGCCTAATAAATTTAATGACCCGGGTGAAAAATGAGCTGGCCAGAAGTTTTCGGGCAATAACGGTGATTAGTACGACTTTCCATGCAAAGTAAAATATATATATTAAATATTAGGGACTTTATTTCACCGTCTAAGTATTATGATATGAATGTTGCTTTGGATTTACAAGCTGGTAAATTCTCCGTTCAGAGGGGTTGACGTCTTAGTTTGTATAAAATCAGATAAATATATTTGACATCATTTTTATTGATTATTTATAACTTGTACGTTACTTTCAATGTGTTATATTTTATAACTCTTTTTACATTTCTAATTTCCGGTTTGCTGTTCAGAGCGTAACGAATCGATTTATCATATCGGCACTCGTGCTAGCTACTCGTTAATGAAAATCTCTTGTATTCTGGTTGAAGCTAAAGTTGGCTAATCCGATTTGCCCGTGGAAAGTCTAATGAAAATCTGACCGGGGCATTCGGGAGGCGCTTGTTTTCCCGCGGATACTAGCATCCGAGAGAATTGGAAAATGTTGTTTATGAAACTATCTCCTAGCTATGTGAATTTACAATATTTCCCCGTGTTTCGGGAGATTTCCAAATGCGTCGCGTTTCGTTGTTTCTGATCATTCCCAGTGCCGTACATTTCATTCATTATGAGAACTAAGTCGTTTGTAATGGCAATTTAAAAAATTCATTATGACTTAACATTTCTGATGAATATCGTTCAAAAGGACTTGGAATTAGGATTAGAATGGACATTCTTTCTTCTCTTTAGAGGATTTACGTAATAAAAAATTTATAGGTCGTCTAATTAAAATAACGTCTCTCATAAGAATTTTACCAATTTACGTCCTTCATTTAAATAGATTTAATTTTTCTCTTCACACGCTGGCCCTCATTCTGAGCGGAATTCGTAACGAAACAAAATACAAAACGAATCTGCATTGCGATCTCGACGGTGAAACGTTTTTTCGAAGTAGCGCCCGTTCAAAGGGGTAGTTCCGAAGCGGTTCGTTTGCTCGAGAGCTATAAAGAGTTTTAAAATGGATGGTATTAAACAAAATGCTGACGCGTCGGGGCAAAACGTTCGAGGATGATGGAAAGCCTGGCGCGGGTTTATGCAAGACAAGCATTTCACCGCATAATTTCAGTCTTAAAGTGCACTTTATTAAAATAACAACCATGGAACAAAGTTGAGTCACCGGGGATAGACCCGATCTGAAAACAACAGTCCTGGAACTTTCTCGCTCTCTGTTTTATTAAAAGTACACACACGCCCGAGCTACTTTCAACGTGAGATAAAAAAAATATCAATTGTCTTACGATACTTATTAGTCGCTATTATGCATTTATCGATGTCACGTTCGCTTCGGTAGGAAACCATTTATCCTTACGACACTTGGAAAAATTTAAACGAAGTCTCAGTTTCATTGACCATAATTTTTACAGCGACTACCCTGTTGCAATTATAATTTTTTATGCCTTGTCGTTTGGAATTCTTGGGAGCTTGATCGAAGCCTGTGCAAAGAAGCTTCTTCGCTGATAGTTTGAAGAAACAGCCTAGCCTTCGGTAAGTACGTTCTCCGCATGCTTCTTAAGATACGATCTGCTGTTCAGTATTTTCTTCTGAGATACCCGCTGTTCGCCTGATTTCCTCTTTCTCCACCTCTCGGTTTCTCGACTTTGCAAAAGACGTTTCAAGTAGAGTTGCAATCGGTGATTGGTAAGGAAATTTATCAAAGGTTCTATGTCGAATTCATTGAGAGTTTGTTTCTCATTATTTCCGTTGGAAATCGTATGAGGATATAAAATGTAATATATGTATAGATTCGGTGATTAGTAGTGAAAATCAAAGGTTCTACGTCGACTTCATTGAGATTTATCATTATTTCCACTGAAAATTTGATACAAAATGTAATACATCAATTCGACCGATTTCTTGTAATTCATGACTTGAGCCGTAAGGTGTACAAATTAATTTGATGACACAGAGAAGGTAGCTCCCATTTGCATTTCCGATAATACTGAATTTCCAACGTGGTAGTATTGCGCAACACTTTCAATGTCGTTCGATCAAGCGATGCCATGCATTTTAAGCGGTTACCTATCGGCTAAGAAGTTGCAGAGGGCCAATTTCGATGGAACAACGCCGAGGCTTGAATAATAATCAACGTTAATTGTAGACGTGTTTAATGGTTTTCTACCCTTTAGAAAACGTATACGTTGCCGACGTCCCCTCTTTCAGGAATCGTAAATGAATTCAATTTACTTTTATCGTTCCTTAAACTGTCGAAGCTAGCCTGCAGTACAATTTGAAACGTCGATTATGGAAAATGAAAGATATCATTTCTCCCTATTTAGACATAGTATTATGTAGCATGATTAGATCATCGTTTCAATCAATTGATTATCAAAGTATATTGATCTTCACGTAGAAAACGCAGTACTACTTCGATCGGAGTTATACGCGAACTATCGCATCCTTGGCTAACGGGTAAAGATCCGATGAAACTGGCAGGGCAGAAGCCGCGAGTAAATAACTATACAAAAATAATATCGACTGTTTACCGAAGCGTAACACGTTTGTACGGACTTTGTAAAGTATCCGTGCATCTGTGCTCGCCTCCAGATACCGTAAACTCACCGGGGAAATCAAACGTTTCTCGTTGCTCGGTTGATAAACGTTAAGCAGAAAGGTCTGCAAGATAATTGCGCTACCGAGGAAGAAGTCTGCTACTGTGAAATCGAGAGGTGCTTCAAATCAGAATCTTAACCACTTCGATTATTGCCGATAGAGTAGTCACTCCAATTAGCGAGTTTATATCGTTTACACGAATGCCACTTTTGACAAAACTTTTGTATAGATAAAACTATTATGCAAAACTTCATGTGTTGCTTTAAAACAGGACAAGTTATTGGATCATCGCGTCGAATTTAGCAATCGTCGACGGAGTATATGTATAATAAAAACTGTTGGATCCTACGGAAGTAGTGTTCACGGTCGATTAAATACGAGTCGAGCGTCGTGGTTGAAATTTTACGAGACTCGTGCGATTCCGTGGTACCACGCGAGACTGCATTGCACGTAAGTGCTTAGGCGAGTCTGCTCCAGGGTCCAGTTTTTACGAGAAGGGATACATCTCCGCGACCAGCAACGTCTTCGCGGTGTATTTGACTCCGGAGGTCGTGGGTTCACTGCCCGGTTGCACGATTCTCTCTTCGCTCCAACTATTTCTCTTAACATCGACCAGCTCGCTTTTTACGATTGCCTACACGGTATACAACCTGTGATGTAGTTGTCCCGGCAGACGGCTACTGCTTCACCCGTTTACGTAGTACAAATAATGTTTTATCTAATAAGTGTTACAGCAATTGGTAGAATTGATTCGACTCAATTAAAAGATGTTCCGCGCATTTACCATAAGACTGTTCATCGATCGGACGTGTCCCACGGTTTCCAAGATTCTATAGTAAATCAATAATCGAAAGACAATGGTAGTCCATATTAATTCCCACTGGTATTTGGAAGATGGCTCGGGTAGCTAGATTTGCGAGACGCGTCCCCAAAGATCATTTCACCAGGGAACAGGGAAGCTATAAGTAATATTTATTCGCGCACGCGAATCGTTCCTGCTCATTTTCTCCGGATCGTAGGGGACGACGGCGACGCGACGGAAGCTGGTTCCCGCCGCGGGAAACCTAGGAAAAGAATTATTATGCGAAAAGTTCGTGCTCCTCGTTTCTTCCCTGATGGACGATTAAAACTTCCACCGTCGAATTTACAAATTCCTTCGGGGGCTCCGCGCTGGCAGGGGCATTAGTTCGCCTCGCCTGGCCAACTTAACCGAGCCCTACCATTCCCGATTTCGAATTAGAATTTAAATCTGCGGAACGGTTCGTAATGCCTCGATATCTTTCGTCACGGTGGCTTCTCACAGATTTTTCAGATTTTAAAGTATAGTTACTGGCTTTATTTGAAAATCTGAACGACATGTGTACTCCAAAATTTCGTTTACCCCAATAAATACAGGAAAATATGTTTGTTTCGTGACTAGATTGCGGATTACATGCATGTGTATGCATTTATAGAAAAGTTGAATCACGTATAAAGACTTCACGTAGTTTATCTAGAAAACTTCAAAGATGAAAGGGATTTCTATACAAAAGGCAATGTTTTTTTATCATATCTTGTGTAGCGTAAAAATGCGCGGTCTATTCATAAGGAATATAGTTCGGTATTTAAAACTCGTGTGTACGAATTCATTCAGCGCGCACTAGAGAGACAAGCATGCGCGGTGCGTTCGGGAAGCTTTCGTGCTACATCGTAGCGTCGCGACACTGGCGTCGGGTGGGGATCGCCGGTCGAAGGGGAGAGAGATAGCGTGAGCGTAGTCGCGCTCCGATGGACGAACCGCGAGGTGGGACGCGAGAGGGTCTTCGTCCGCGTGTCGTTGACAGCAGGCAGGCCCCGCAGTCGCACAGGCGTTGCATTGCAGCTCGACAGTCAAAGCCGATCTCTCGGCGTGGTAGCATCGTTAGTATCTCGAGTCATATCGCGGAGGCATCGTGGGTCGTCGGTATCAGTTAGTACGACGTAAAGTTGTCGCTTGTCGCGCCGTGCGAATTTCAGGTCGGTTCGCGGCGATTCAATCGTCAGCATAGTTTTTTTCCCCCCGGTTGTGTCTCGCGGTTAATCAGAAACCCAGTTGTGCTTTCGTTCGTGTCGTGTATGTTCGTCAACCACGTTTCCGCTCACGTGTGCCCAAGTGTGCAGAAGTGTATGGATGCCACGCCGGAAGCTGAGATTGCACCGAGGACGTTCCCCTCGGCCGATTAATTCTTAGGTAAGCCGGTTCTCCTTATTACGCGGCTTGTGTAATCAAGGTTATCTCTTAGAATTTCGAGATTTCTTTTATGTACAGTAAACAGCATTGCTTATCGATTCCAATCACGGAAAACTACGAGTCGTGTTTACGTTTGGTTACCAAGTACGAAACGAGGGATGATCAGCGATAGATACATGCGCGACTAATCAATAGAATCGACTATTCGTTTAGCAGTATGACTAAAAGTTATCGGTTTTTTCTTAGGCTTTTCCATATATGTATGTAAGCATCGAAACATTCGGTCATCTCCCCACGCGTATAGCCGAGTCCGACCTACATAAACAAATACACCAACAACCTTAGCGCACGCTTTTTCGCGTTACATACACATTGTCCCCCATTTTTTTTTACCTCCGTTGGTCTACTTTCGTCTCGAAAAATGTATGGTTCCTGATATGACAAAAATTTGTAACTACTATCAGAAGTAACATGTGTTACGAATTGAATGAATTTGAATTTCATTCTACCCGAGTATACTCTAAATAAAAAATGCAGTCTAGTGATCGGACTAGACATCTCTGTAAATACCAACAAGCCACGGAACATACGAAAACATTGGCGTATCTGGTAACAAACGCATCCTCCGAACACTCGGTGATTAAGTACACGATCTCTCGTTTCTGGTAACGAGCATTCGGAGCAGAGCGCAACTAGCAGGCGAACTTCTCTCTATTGATATTCGCGAGATTCGTTTAGCATTTTAAATGTCGTTCCATCCGCGATCGATTCTTCTCTCGTTTGGCGAAATTTCGCGGAGGCTCATTGCTCGAGATTTCTGACTTGCTAATACGGCCTCGATAAAGGCGATTAAAACCGTTTCTCGTTCTCCGGGGGTAACCGTGATTTTCTGCCCGTTTTCCGACGCGTCCAACCGCCTGTCCATCGATAGAACGCTGCCTGCTACTCCCGCGTTATTTGCTCGTCGATTTGAATTCATTTCGCGTAAAGTCGCGAACGTGATCAGAGAATAGACGCGTGTGTTCCCCCTTCGCGTGTCCGGACGACCCCGTGTTTCAACAGTTGTTTCTTTTACCTTCGGAATTCCTCTAGCTTGATAACTTGCAACCGTGGCACATTTAAGGGAACAGCTTGGTTTGCTTATTACAACTGAAATTTAAAATCGATAGGACAATCCTAAAATTAGACTTCCTGTTCTAGTTGGAAGTCGAATAACGCTTCTATCGCGACGAATGCATTGGTACATTGTTACAAACATGGACTGTGGCATTTGTAATTGATTTTATATAGTTATTTTCAAGTGAATTGCTTGAAATATTGCAATTTTCGATTCTGTCTATGAAATTAGAATGTACGTACCGAATTCTCAAGTCTCGAAGTTTCCTGGGTTTATTTCGTCAATATTTTTTATATTCCGTCTTAAAAGGACTTCGAATACTTTTGTGAGCCACTATTATTTTTCTGCGAGAGTCGAGAGTACTCCGAAAATATCGCGAAGATGCATATGGTTTGTTATCATTGTACGATATGAGATTGATCGTCGCGTCGCATGAATTTCAGATCGATCAGTGATCGCCTGTACTTCGGATGTCAGGACTTGCAGCATTCGGCTGCGTAAAACTTTGGCTCCGGTGATTAAACGTTCATCTAAGGACAATCGTCAGCAGGTCCGAGCAGGGATCGTGTTACCAAGTACGTATAATCTTACATACGGTATCTGGTTTTTCGTTTCGATGAAAAATTGTAAACGTACAGCTGCACGTAGCATTCATTAGGAATCGTAGCTAACTGATCGCGCTCGCGATTGCATGCACGTGAAATTTATGCCGTACATCCGTGCGTAGTACGTACGTGTACGCGATATTATTATCAATATTATGGTTTTCTCGATTTTTTCCACCCGGCAATTACAAAACGTTGCCTGTTAACTGGTCATAGTTCTTGTCGTAGCATGCAACGACATTGTAATTAGTACACGGCAATCTTTTTCGCCGTATTCTCCCTTCCTTTCTTTCTCTCTTTCATTCTGTCCGTTCTATATAACGCATTTTTTATTTTCACGTATTTATATTAATGTTCTCAGTAATGAATAACAATATTTTGTTCCGTACATTTGTTCTGAAAATATTCATTCTGCAATATTTTTAACGAGACGATTCTGATTTAGAATAATTAATTGAGATATTCTACATCCGCTGTAAGTAGGAAAACTAGTTTGCAATAAACACTCGTTCAATCATGTTATTGATTGGCCAATCTGAGGCATGTAATTTTGAGGAGGAACAATAGTAACTAAATTTTACAGCGCATGTAAGCTCGTAACGTGTTATCGCGTATAGCGCATTAACCGTTATCGTGTTGCATTGAATACGATGGTTTCCTGCAGGAAAAAATAGCTAGTCTGTTTTAACTGCGCGACAAGATTGATTTGCTATACCTATTCATTATTTATAAGAGCCATTGTAACACGGCCGTCGCAGATTTGCTCGCAACCCATTTAATCAGTGGCATATTAATTCGCAGCCGTTGATTCATGTTTCTCCTCTGAGATAAGAAATTAATAAACGTAACGTTAATGCATCGTCGTAAAAGATAGTTCGACTCTGTTTTGTCGAAATTACTCTTACTAAACTTTTTTCCTTTTCTTATCTCACGTCGAAGTAATTCGTTGTTGGCTGATAAAGAGACGAGTCAGTATTTGTTCGGATACGTTCGTTTCTGTTTGTTTGCAAAGTGAAAAATTGATATATGCTCTGTTTGCAATCGCGTTCGTCAATCTCGCGATTTTAGCAACCGCAAATTTTAGTGTTCCGAGAATCTCTGATTCTATCAATTATTTATTCATAAACAGGCATACGGTTTCTATCGGAAATTTTCCAATTCCAATTATTTCGAAAACTTACTCTGCCTCTATCTCATAGAGATATGTACATTCTATTAGAGGTGTGCGAGAACCCGGTGATCGGGACGGGATGGATTCTCGATTATGTCGAGATTCCCGAAAATGTTCGAAATTCCCGAAAATGTTCGAAATTCCTAAAAATGTCAGTGATCGCTATGGGACTCAACAAAACCAAACGTGGCATGAGATTTTCGACATTTCAAGCGTTCTCGTAAAATCGTATTATAAAATTGTTTCACTTATTTTTATCTATTTAGTTTGTTAATGTAGAGTTATGTAGGTTTGAAAATAGGATGGACATAAAATGCTAGATAAGATAAGATAATTAGCTTTTTTTACATGAAAACTTCAAATGAAATATCATAATTACCTCCAGAATGTTTTTGAGTCCCCACATTTTCGTGTTTTTGCACGTCTCTACATTCTATTCTTAAAATCTATTAAATTCGTTCTGGTCCAAGAGATAGATTAAAAAATTCTGTTCAGACCTTATTGTAGCTGAAATCAATCAAGTTGTTATTTGTGCTTCGCTACCAATCACGAATAGTTAGCTCATAGTTTTATTTCGTACAAAAGTCTTTCACTTGATGAGCGTTAATCGCTTCTGTAGCTCTCGTGTTCATGACCTACGAACGTCGAGGCACGAAGCGACTAGTCATTGGTCATATCCCGTAATACCAAAGCCAGAAGAAGGAACAGACAGCAGTTGACCACTGTCGTTTGGAATGCCGTCTGCGTTCCCGTCGCATTAATGACGTACAGACGTTATATTGCGCCACTTACTTCTTATCTGTCAGAGTTAAAGGGTTGTAAATCTCTCCGCTACGGTTTACCGCTTGAAACTTCTGATATCCAGAAAATCACACACGTACACCGTAGATTCTCGCAATTTTTTATAGTACGAAGGGAATCGATAAGAATTATGTCAAATAACGAAATAACGTAGAAAACTCTTCCCTTTTAACAAAAACCTTTTCGTTGTGACGCGAAAATCGCGGCACGGCGATTTGAGATTTGAATTCCGAAACAGATCCGAGTTCCATTGTCTCCGTAATCTGAACAGTTTTTTTTATATCTCGTATAAATATGCGGACGGAAAGTACACAAGGTATTTTTATTATTCCACGCGAGAGACTAAACGCGATTTAGTCCGTCGTTGTCCACGCATTCTTGCGTAACACCCGCGATTACTGTCGTTCCACTTTTTTTTTTTTTTATCGTCCTCGAGGAGCTTTTTTCGTTAGTGCAAAAACGTTTTAATTGACGACGCGTAAATTTTCGATGGCAATATACAATTTAAATTCGACGACGATTTTATCGAACGGTCCTGCCGGCGCGGTGGTAACCGCGGTGATTTCTCTTGCTTCGGCGATATTTTTTTATCGCACGTCGAACGCTGCAAGACAGGCATTCGTTCCGATGAAATAAAAATGTCGCTAGCGGATGGATACGCGGAACAGATAAAAAGTAATATGACGGGTAAAAAAAATTGTTATCTACCCTCGACGCACGTCATCCGTTCTTCGTTCCATTCAGTTTAATTAATTCAAGTGTAATTGAAACATCACGTGCTCAGCGGTTGCTACTTGCAGACAGAAACGTGTTTATTAAATTGTCTTTCCACCGTCGTGGATACATTGTACTTTAATTTAATCATCGTAGCTTCTATTACATTCTGTTTCCTGCAAAACAATCTCATTCGAGTCGATGAGAGATCCAGAAAACTTATTAATTAAAGTCTGACGAATGCTAAGAGTTCACGTGTATTTCAAAGAAATTCGTCGATAGTACATATAAACGAATCCCGTGGATGTTGATTGGTAAATGAGGCATCGAGAGGAGGTCAATTAATGTTTCGAACTACGGGAATTCGGTAGTCGAGTCTGTTTGATCGGATAAAAAATGAACACGTTCGAGGGTCTATGGTCGGATGTAATCAGGCAGAGAACGAGGGGTGAGGAGACGAAGGGCAACTGCTGCTGGCCGGCGACGAGTTCCCATTGAACTTCAGAAATGAAGCGCAATGCATCTTTAATTAAATCTCTCTCTCGGTAACGTTCGCGTTCGGTGGCTGAAATTTATTCCGTTCGTTTCAATCTCGTTGTTGCCCTCCCATTTCTTCCTGCGACCCGTCCATTCACTACCCCCCGTCGTTCTCGGTATGCTCGCGGTTCAGAAGAATATAGATACAGTCACATAATAATTAATGCAATGATTCATGTACTTATTGTTGTAATTCGTATTAACATTTGTTGTATATAATGCATTCACACAGTTGGTACAGCCATATAATAATTCATGTGCTTATTGTCTGTTCATTCACAAATTCATATTCATATTTCGTATATGATAAATAATGCATTGCTGCGTTTTTATAATATTCTTTAATAGAATCAATTTTGTTATTTCTGATTATAATTCTTATTGACCCAGTCTGTATATCAGAAGAAACCGGGTGTCCACGTAGTGTTTAACGGTAGTGTACGTCGCTTTCGTCTTTGGATTTTTTCCAGCTCGTGCCGGAAATTCTAAGCGTGCCGAGACGACCGAGATTTAGAAGAAGATCTCCTTTGTACGACGTCTAAGCCTTGTTTCACCCTTATTTTTGATTGAGAGACTGGTTGACGTACTACGTTCCTACACGTATCAATTTTCTGACTTATGAGATAGGATTCGTTTCATGGTAGTTATGATGTTGCTCTTTCTTGTTAATCTTCTTTCACATCAATTTGACTACTGGCTCGATTCACGTTTACGTGATATCTGTTGCCATAATGATATGTCATTAAGGAATTTAGATGAATAGGGTTCTTGCAACTCGATCATTATTTCATGTTAAATGTTTTACAGTCTTTTCATTATTTAGTAATTGATATAATTCTTTTTATTTATATTCTTCAATATCTCTTTTCAATTGATTTCCTTGACAGCCCTTAACTGATATTCCTAGAAAACTGTTCTTGAGAATTTATCAGTGACCAGTTTAACCAGGATGTAAATTTATGGTATCTCGATAACGTAGCTAGACGAGCAAAGTTCTCATTATTTGATGTAGGTACGTATCAAAAACAGATGACGCGACGTAGAGTGTAGAGTACATAATGGTATACACATAGAACAGGTCTACATAAGATAATGCTATGTTCTTTCACCTCGGAGCATGATGTAATAAGTAGTTCGAAAATCTAATTCTAATATAATAAACACACTAAATTTTTGTGTGAAGGATTTAATGTCTGGCAAATATTGAAAATCATATCTCATGCTTATCACAATTGATTTATACAAATAAGCTTATTATTTTTTCTACACGTAGAATCGTAAACTAGTTTAATCATTCAGGGATTAGGCAGACTAATAAAAATGAGGTAAATAATGTTACGTCTGTTCGAAGACATTTCGCATACAGCAAGCCGATAGTAAAATGATATCGAAACGCGTCGTCGATCGCCGTGCGCGATAGGCTCGAGCCAAAAACATTATTTTAGCTGTTATTTAAAATTTTTGCGCGACATTTACATGGGTGGGTACACGGTGTACGCGGAATGATTTTCGCGAGGCTCGATAAAATATGGGAACCGGCCGGTGGCGGCGGGAAAGAGCATCGGTGATATATAAAGTGCGTCGGGACGCGAAACATTTAAATTTTAAATGGTCAGTTCGCATACCGTTGCACACGTAGCTGGGATGTACACGCACGCACGCGTGCTCTGGCATGACACTCTGCGTTCCCGGGTTCCGATCGCATAGCTGTAATTCGCCTCTTGATCGAACGGTCCTTTTTATCGCT